AGATTTTATATATATATATATATATATATATATATTTTTTTTTTTTTTTTTTAATTTTCAACTTTTCTGTTCACTTTCAAGTAGATCATTTCTTATGGTGTTTTGCTCACTGTGTCCAGGTTACAGCTTTTGTTGGCAAGGTTTATTTGAGGCCATGTCTTTAAATGTTTATGTTTTTCCTGTATCATCTGTCAGGCCAGAGCAGTAAGTGACATACAGAAGAGACTCGCCATGTTTGAAGACTGGTGGCAGAAGGGCAAACTGTCACAACCGGTGAAGACACGAATGGCACAGCTATCGCAATGTCTAGAGAGAGGTAACTGTGATATGGCTCATGAGTTGCATCTAGCATTGATGATAGACTATGCAGGAGAGGTAGGTATAGGGGAATCACACTTGAGCAGATTTCTGTTCTAATATAAGAACACTGTTCAATTCCTCTTATTGAATTGTCTGAACAATTTTTTTTTGTTAATTGATTAACTTAGAACCATAGGAAATTTTGCCCCTTGGTTTTCTTGTCAGCCTGTGTAAATTAAGAGAATATATAGCACTACCATGGTGTGTTGTTTATTAAATACATCTTCATTTAATTAAGTCAATTTAATGATAATTGAAATTTGATGCGATAGAATGTAATAAGGTTGACTCTGTTTTAGGTTGGACAGTGGATGGTGGGGATAAAAAAACTTATCCAAGAAACCAGAAATTTAAAAACAACAGAAGAGAAAGATGAATCTGAGGTACAATCAGCTGCAGTAGTGAGCAATCCTGCAGTGCCAGTTTTCTCACCAGAGGGCAATCCTGTGGTTCCTTTCAGTCCACCAGAGGGCAGTGTTGCATTAAGCGATGACCAATCACAAACTCCACTTGACAGCAGTGCTCCTCAAACTGACTCCCAAGAAAATTCAGATCAACAGTCTGCTGATAGTTCTAGCAACACACAAACTTAGATTCTCCATTGTAGATGTTTTTAAAGAAAACTTAGGCGCAAGTGCCTCATACGACATACATAATGGAATCTTGATATGTTTTAACTTGAAGGAAAATTGATCTCAATGTTGATGTTGCGCTGTTGGTGTACTTGTAGATAAACCTTATAGATAAGCTATTATTAAGAATGTGCATCACCTTTTGAGATCATCTGTGATAGCCAAAAATGAAGATGTCGTGTGATGCCATTAGTGACTAGAAATTGTGCAATAGCTGTGAGGTGGGGTTAAAAAATTCAGCGATAAAAGTGAAAAATCTGTGTGCTGGTAATGTTGACTTTAAGAGTGATATGAAAGTGACACATAAAATATAGTGGATTTGTAATGTTGTGTAATAGTGCATAACTTAACAGTCCTAAAGAGAAGACACCTAGAAAAATATCCATGGATAAAGTACACTGTATGTCAGTTTATAAATTTATTATATTTTTATATGCATTCACTAGTCTAATATTATTTTTTGACAGCATTGTCCTCCAAATCCCTTGAAATTTCATTTGATAATTGATTCAGAATCTATGCTTAATCATGAGAATGGGCTATTTGGGATGATTATCATTGGTGCAGTGCAATAGAAAGTGTATAGGGTACATGTACATCATACAAAGACAGGCTTTGGTCAGTTGGAAAGGATATCCCCTTTGAATATAGTGCTGGATGTTGGCACATGGCTGTAGGAATGGGTTTTAGAAGCTCCTGTTGGTATAATGTGTGCCATGACATGAAAAAGACAAACACCATGTGTTCAAATCCAAAACTTGAAGTGAAGACTTGGCACTAAGTCTTTATTTACATGTATGCAAATGGGATAGGTGATCAAGTGTTGGACAGGCGCTATTCGGCTGCATTCACATTATTTGGCTGCATTCACACATTAGAGACGTTCACACATTACATCATACTGGTGGTAAGTAAAAAGGGATATCCTGAATAACTACGAATAACATTGCTGCAGAAATTGATTGAAAGGAGAAATAGTACATATATTAAAATATTTTTGAATATTTATTTCAACATTTCATGTTTAAAATGACTTACATTTGAAAAAAATGTAGAAAGAGCTCTGTTATCAGTTTTAGCTAATAATTAAAAAATGAAAATGATGAAAATTAAATTCTAAAATTAGGATGTAAATTGGCAGTCCTGGGGTCCCATTAGTAAATTTTATTTTTCCATTTATATTGCTTTTTAGAATATAATGTGCAACTAAATATTTATAGAAATGCAAGGTGCTTACAGTATTATATTTGTTACTTTGTTCTGTCTTTCACCTTTAAGATTGGGAACATTTAAATAAGCTATGTCAAGTATTTGCCATTAAATAATGTAACCATAACCTTTATTGTGCTGGTATGTATTAAATATTGAAAGACAGGTCTGTTTATCTCAAAATACTACTGGGAAACGGTTTACATCCTTATTGTAAATTGTGTGAAAGAAAATAAGCTACACTTAACGTGCCTTTGCGTCAAGTATACATCTGTACATTTATATTAATTTATCACTATCAGAAAAGGTATCCCCAACTTTTAATACATAAGCAATAATGAGAAATTTATTACCCAACAACTAAGGGATTATGAGCCTTATTGGATGTGAGTCATTATGAATAAATGTTTTCAAATTTGTACTCTGTGCTTGATAATCAGTTTTTTACACTATTTTATCCTCACAATATCTGCACTGCTGCCTCTCTTTGCCAATATAGAAAAGAAAAAGATAAAAAATAATATTTGTTAAGCCTGCAAAAAAAAGTTTTATTTGACAACATATTGCACTTCGAATGTTGCATTAAGCACAGAAAACTCGATCATTCCATCCTCAAAGGAGGCAAGCGAGGTGGCGGGAGTCGCTGTGGTTGATATTGATTGAAAGGTGCACTCACTGGTGGTAAATCATGTGACACAGTACCACCAATATCCATGACGTGAAGCCAAGTGACAGAGTCAGGTGGTTGAACAGTTTTCCTGAATTCGTCAACACGTGTACTGTCAGTGTCTTTGGAAAGTAGCCCGTCGGAGCCCAAACGAGAAGGCGCTTCTGGAAACTGCGTCGTTGTTGGAGGGTTTGGTATGGCACCAGTTGCGGGAGGGACGTATGGGATCTCGCTGGAGCCATCTTCTTGTGGGTCTTCTCTGCTGTCGTTTTTATCTTTTTGCGTTGAAGATGGGCCTCCTTTTGCGTCCCCTGCTGGGGAAGTTCGAATTTTCCTAAGATAAATTATATAGACGCAGATAATAATTGAACACTGGTAGTAGGGCTACATGGCAACTTGAACTGATCATGTGGTCATATGGAAGTTGGAACTACGCCGCCGTCTTTTTTTTTTAATTCAAAGTATACTTATAGACCATGGTATAGACGTCTCTACAAAAGGTATGAGAGGGTAGGGTATGGGAAGTAGGGTGTCAACCACTTACATGTGAACGGACCACTGGTTTTATAGAAAAATTATATAAAAATGGGTGTCAGATAGATAGGGGCGCAGATTCATTGCTCACCTACAGGTAGATGCCATTTCCATACATATACCTCTGCATTCATATTCATTTTCACAACAAAAATCAGAGATAACAAGAAGTAAGTTTCAAAAGAATTACAGATAAGCTGTTACCTTTTCATCCGTTTCTGAAGCCACCAGCTCGTTGCTACGACAGCTCCGCACAGCAAGATGACACCAGCGACTGGGGGAAGAATTTCGGTGAGCCTTTGTTCAGAAGCTTTGGGGTCCATTTTTCGTGCGCGTAAAGCTGCACCTTCATTGATATTCTGAAATGTGATCAAATGTAAAATCACATACACCATAATTACATGTAAATGTGGAAAACAGGATCAACTAAACAATGATTCAACCGTTATGAAATGCCCCTTCATCAAATTTTAAGACCAACATGTGTGTTTACGTCAAAGATGATAAAATCAGTTATGGAACGCACAGCTGTTTGTAATATGTAAGCAAATTTGTCCATTTCGGCTTCATTTTTTTAATGGGAAAGGCAAACAAATATAGGGCCTATTTAGTTATCCTCTTAAGTAAAATTTGCCCAGAGAGGGACACCTGGTTGCAAATCAAATATAAAACGAAATTTGATATTATTGATACTAAATAAAATATATTTATTAATGACCAATAAGTATATATTGATCTGACGTGTCTAGTTCACCTTTACGCGAACTTCTACATGAACCATATATATAATATATAGCAAACGCTGAAATATTCTTTTAAGTCTACTTACAGCCTCTGTAGACCAAATGCCCGGTGCTGATACTGCCGTGGTCTCCAGATGGGAATGCGTTGTGCGTTGTACCGCTTCATCCGTTGACCAAACAAACCTGGAAAATTTTGACATGATTTCAGTAGAAGGTTTCTCAGTGCTAAGTTTCGTTTTTTCTGATGTAAAAATTCTCTGCAGGGTTTCACTCACAGTCTCAGCATAAGGCCGCTTTGTACTTAATGCCACCTTCTCCGTCGACGAAAATATCCACGGCACTTTAGCCGTGGTGTCTGAAGTAAGTTGCTCAGTGCGATGGTTCATGTTGTCTGATGACCACGCCACACCTGTCATTTTTGGAGTGGTTTGAGTGGTGGAAGGCTCGGACCGTTTGATCTCCTCCGATGTCCAAAGTCTTTGCGATGTAGTCGTAGTTTCAATAGTGGGATTGCCAGTATGTTGCCGCGTTTTCCCTGTCGACCAAGTCAACACCGGAGACTCAGGCGTGGTTTCAACGGCTAAATACTCGGTGCTAGGTCGTACTCTTTCTGGCAATTCAGTGGTTGTCAAATTTTCACCTGGAAAATAATCATTTTTATTTGCACAATTTATTCCAACTATACACTTATTAAATAAAGTTTCAGAAATGTCTTCTGTTCTTAAGGATGCCTTTTGTCATTATATCATCATTATTGTGGCATCTACTGGCATGGTTCTTATATGAAACTTTTTTCATTAGTTCATTGGTTCAACCCCCCCCCAACCCCCCCCCCCCCTCCCATTTTGAAACTGTTGGCAAAGGGTCTGGTTGTGTTAACAGAATGACTCACTTTTCTTCTATTGGAACAATCCAGTTTAATGGTGACTGTAAATCCCACCTTAGGACCGATCTTGAAGCCAAACAGGTCGCCCAAATGTAAATGTAAATCTTGGTTAAGATTGTTTACCTCATATCTTGTTCTTTTCCTTACTCAGAAGCGAAAGAAAGGTTATCCGTGCCAGCTGGCCAATACAACCAAGGGGTTGTTTGATAAACCTAAGATAACCTATAGAAAGAAGCGTGTGTCGGTGCTATTTGTTGACTTAGTATAGAGAGTCTATAATGATGCCATAAGAAACTCACGCGCCGTTACATACCTTGCACACACCTGACAGTGTCTAGAAACGGGTCACAGGCACAAGCAAAATCACCTGCATGCACGATGTGACTTTCATTGCCTGGGCATGGGGTAGTCGTGCATTGACCAACCACTGAAACGAACGTATCCATAGGTCATTTCGTACATTTATTTCAGAACAGGCTCATAACGGAAATTCTGCAATTTTTTCCAAATTAAATTTGATGATTTTTTCGTTTTGTAAATGGCTTTTGTAAATATGCCTACATAACTACTAAACGACCAAATTTTCGTATGCTAACAGTCTCAAGATTTCTCAAGTTATTGACCTAATACCTTCAACATTTCTATTGAATAACCGTATCTTTCAAAGATGATGAGATTGTGCACTCATCTTATTTTTCCAACGAAAATATTACAGTGCTTTAAACTGAGGACCCACCGTCTGCAGTGTCATTGCATCCCACTACCTCCACCATCCCCGTACAGTTCTGTCCAGGATGTGCCCGGAGAGCTTGCCATGAATTGTAAACAAATATGGTCTGAACTGACCACACAATGTTCCCACACCCGTCCTGCACGAGCCACGTGCGCTTGATGTCCACCCCACAGCCGTTGTCATTGGTCGAATCTGTGTAGTTAATGGTGATATCGCGATAGGCAACACAGCGCTCAGAACCAGTCGCATTTGGGGTGCCAGCTTCGATCGTTATGGTATGGGTAACTGACGCGTCGCCTGCAAATTAACCACAAATGTTTAGAAGTAAATATTGCTGTAATCAAAAGCTAATTGAATTTATGCAAAAACCCACTTATAAAAGAATATATGACGTCAAACTGAGGTGAAGACAAGTGTATCATTGGTTATTCAGAAGAATAGTTTTAGAAATTAGAAGCGGGACCCCTCTTCACCCATCTCTTTACCTGAAACAATTACTGTATCTTTAGGAAAGTCAACATCCGGCGGTAGGGAAGACAAATCCTCATCAATTACACCATCGTCGTCATCGTCAATACCATTAAGGAGTTCTTCGTCAATTTTCATGTCACAGTCGTTATCAACGCCATCTGCCGGCTGACCAGTATTCGGTAAACATTTGGTCACGTCCAGGTTTGCAAGTCTCAGTCCTCCTGGATAGCCATAAGAAACGGATTCAGCAAACCCGTAGGAGAATACTGAGAAAGTCTGGATAGGAGAAATATGCTCTATGCGATGTGTGCCCGCAGTAACACTCAGCTGAGCAGCAATAAAGTCTGTTCCGGGAATGGCTAGCCATGTAACACCATTGACAGCGGCTCCATCAACTCTGAGGCCTTCTTTAGAACTGTTCTTGATGACTACATTGACGAAGTTTTTGTAAACTTTATCAGGAAGATTGGCGGTAGCGATGGTGTAACTGGACGTGAATTGTTCTATGGCAGGCACAACCATCATGTAAGGATCACTGTCCAGATTATCCGTTCCATGGCTCTGCGTAAACTGCAACACCATAATCGGCTTACTGGCATTGAGAAATACAGGAGCGTTCTTCAATACCTTAAATTCAAAGAACTCGGATCTATTAAGCGTTAAACGCGAGATACCGGTTATGCCGACCAAGGTGTCATCAGTACTGCCTACAATGCGGACAATATCCCCACTCTGCCGGTAAGCTGATGGAACAACTATGTACGTATAGCCCCATCTATCGACTGGATACATCTGTTCCACCAAATGATCACAGGCCCTAACCCCACAAGGAATATTGCTGCACATATTGCCTGACATTACTGACAGTGGTTTTGTCGAATTAATCCTCGCACCTGTAATGTCGCTGGAAGATTGGATTTGAATGGTCTCAAGTCTGTCCAGAACGATATGTGTCTTTGAACTTACTGTGACACCCATTACTATTATACTCTTGTCTGGAGGAGGAGTTATTTCGACGTGCGTACTGTTTTGAATCCCAATTAGTCCTACAAATGCAGGATGAGAACTTAAACAGGCTTTGTAACTGCCTGTGATGTACTCCTGCCCAAGACTTTCAACTGGTAAGGCTAGAAACGCATCCAAACTTAATGACATGGCGTTGGAGCCATAGAGTATGAATTCGTCATCTGATGATAAAAACAAACCATTAAACTGTTTGTATGTGGTCTTCATGGCAAAGCTTATTGGGATGTCAACCTTCGTAACTGAGCCGCGACTTACGTTTGCCGTTCTGCTTTGAAGTGGAAGAAGGTTCAACAGGTTGGGATGGGCAGAGATCCTGACTTGAACTGTGGCAGGATTGTTGGTGGTGAGAAATACGTTCAAACTTTGGATGACAATATTGTCCATAAAACCTATGATGAATTCCTTGCCACTGTTGTCAGGAACATCTGAAACAAAAGCGTTGTGTAAGAGAGGGGTGAAATGTAGTGGACCATCTGTGTGAATAGTGTGCTGTATGTTACATGGGGGACAAGTTCGTAAAAAATTATTCGCGGTTTATTGCTCGATGAATAGATGAATTTTTACCCATGTGCACTAAAAGTGTATCCACGAAGATTGAAGGCCCTTTTGGCTGCCACGTTTTCACATGGTGAAGATATAGGAATTCACAAATGAAGAAAGAAAAGAAATTGTTTCTCTGAGGGAGGAGGTTATAGATGTCCACCAGATAGCCGCCGGATCTGATGTGTCAGACCAGGCTGTATACTGGGTTTGCCGAAGGATGGAGGGCACTTAAAAATAAGGCATTTGGAAGTAGCACCGGAAGAAGACTAATGCCAGAGATGGCAGGTTTTTTTTTTGCTGCCAAAGGTCGAGGGATTTGAACCTTGCAGCGACTTCGCTTTGCAGTGATCGAGATTAGAATAAGAACTGGCAAAGGAGGCTTCATGCTTCAGGAATTCACAGCAGGGTTCCCAGGTGGAAACCACTTATCACCATGGTGAAAAGAAGAAGAAGAGTGACATGGTCTGCAAAAACCTTTGCATGGACCGTAGGTCAGAACTGGTGCCATTTTTTTTTTTTGATGAGATCATTTTCACCGTTAACAATGTGAATGGACAAGTTAGAGTATGGACAGCATCATCCACTTCTTATCTGCCGGAGAATATGCATTTCCTCACATGTATGAACAAAGCTATTTTGTAAATTAATTGTGCATTTTATGATATATTTTGGTTGCAGACAAATATATTTCAAAATGCATGACTCCATGCAAACCATTGTTTACAAAAGATACATTCTTATACCAGGCCTAAGAGTTTTTGTATAAAGTGGGACTCATGAAAAAGGGACGTCTGTTGTCATACGATCGGGGCTCCTTTTCCAGATTTATATAGGTATATAGGTATGAATTGAATGAATAACTGTAACATATACTGTAAATTCATTTTCTCAAATGAAATTTAGAAATATATATAATTTCTCACTTCCGTATTACGAACAGATCTTTAGACCTGTGCATCATTTATTTATCAGGAGAAGTTGGGGTGCTGGTATATTTTTCAACTTTGACTTTTATCGAGCAGTATCTTACATCTGCATGTTTGGGGCCCTTTCGTCTTCGTCCACGGGCTTGCCCCTCCTTTCTACTTTCATCACGTTCACAGCAAACAAATAATGTTGTTATAACGTTACCATAACGTTAATATTATAACCAAAAAAGTTTGGTAACGTTATAATAACGTTCTATGTTTGCTGGGTACATGCACTCCCTTAATTAATCCACTCATACTCCCTTCGCTTTCCCGACTGCCTTTCATTTCTTTTCTCTCAGGGTCGTTGACCTACGGAGCCCCTGTATACCTCTTGGTACACTGTCTACATGTGCTAACGTATAATTAAAATAGGTAATCTACAGGGTACATATGTTATTCATATTCCTCTATCTCTTTAAAATATCCTGGGTACTTACAGGTATAGATGCTATACGTTGAGTATTGTATGCATGTTCATATTTACACATCTTATTCAGATTTTCATAATAAATATTGTAAACTGAAAATCCAAAACTACATTTCCAGCTTTTTAAAACAGTTTGAGTCTCTGTGCAAATCGATGTTGATTGGCACGCTGTTAAGTATTACTAGTTGCCTAGTTGCGTTTTGTTAAAACAATATAAGCAAAATTTGCTGTTACCTACTCATATTTAAGGTTATTCTACATTACTGAAATAAAATAGCAAACCAAGTCAATTGTCTTACCTGTGTCGCCACCCAAAAAACAGAGAAATAACATACAGAGAAGAAAATACAACACTTTCATTTCTAACGTCCTTGTCATGTCTCCTCTCCCTCTTCACGGAAAGACTGCTTCTCTTCTTCTCTATTTTCTATACAGCCCGTATAAAGAGTTATTTACAGAGGTAACAAGAAACACGCAAACAGCCTTATTGTTTATTTTCATGCTAAAGGGCATTTTTGTACGCACTAAAACATTCTATTGTTCGAAAAGAGAGAGAGATAGAGATAGAGAGAGAGAGAGAGAGAAAAGAAAATCTGTGACACCGAATGCCACAAATTCTCTATCTTTAGATATTAGAGAGTTTCCGTTGCCGGTGAGATACGCCGGCCAGATTGTTACGTATGTGCAAAGGTATCGAGTAACGCGCTACTCTTTTCACGTTCCGGTAAAGTCCCGGAATGCTGGCGCTTCCCGCCATAGGTGGCGCTCATTTCAATATGGCGGCAGCCGCGGAGTATCAGCATGTTATGCTTTCAGCGATGGAAAATGATGATGATGAGATGCTTTTAATGCTTTTACAAGACCAAGAAAGAACAGGACATGTAACTTATGATCCCGAATGGCCAAGGTAATTTTTGCTGTCACAGTAATCGTATAAAATTCTTGGTACAATTATTTTTTTTTTACCAATAGGAGTTTCGTACATAACAGTGAAAACATAACTTCAGAACTGCGGATGGACTTCTGTTGTCGATTGACGATACGTAGTAACTTATACTGTCGATAAACGAACGATGTTATACATCTATGAACTAATGATGTAATTATTTAGATATAATTGGAAATATGTCGGTGGCAATTGCATAGGATGTGAGAACATGTAGGCCTAGTTTGAAGTTCCGTTTTAATTCCTGCAAACCTGGCAATTTACCCGAATTTTGTTCTTATTCCAGGTTTGATTTGGAGACCTTGACAGATGACCAGTGTAGAGAATATTTTAGGTTTTATAAAGATGACATCAAGAGGCTGGTCAGGGTTCTACACATTCCCAATAAAATAATATGTGAAAATGATGCCTTTGCTAGTGGCACAGATGCCTTTTGCATTCTTTTAAGGAGAATGGTTTATCCAAATAGACTGGCAGATTTGGAGCCAATGTTTGGAAGACCCAAGTCCACACTGTCCATGATTTCGAAAGAAATGTTGAACTTTATTTTACAAGAACATGGGCATCTTTTGGAAAATTTTGACCAGCCATGGTTGGATCAGGCCCATTTGCAGACGTATGCAGATGTTATCCATGCTAAAGGGGCACCACTAAGGAATTGCATTGGATTCATAGATGGGACTGTGCGTCCCATATCTCGTCCAACTGTGGATCAAAGGGTTGTTTTCAATGGTCACAAGCGAACTCATGCCCTAAAATACCAATCGGTGGTGACGCCAAATGGTTTAATTGCCAACCTGTTTGGGCCAATTGAGGGCAGGAGACATGATTGTGCCCTTTTGCGCCTAAGTGGCCTGGCAGAAAAGGTAGAGGCTTTAGGTGGACAGTTTGAGGACAGAAATGGGGACCGCTTTGCAATATATGGTGACCCTGCATATCCAATCAGGGATTGGCTGTTGTCTCCTTTCAAGCAGGCTGTGCTCACTGCAGAGCAACAGCAGTTCAATGGGAGCATGTCACAAGTGCGAGAGTCTGTAGAGTGGCAATTCGGAAAAATTGTTAATTTATTTGCGTTTGTAGACTACAAAAAAAACCAAAAACTGTTTTTGCAACCTGTTGGGAAAATATATTTAGTGGCAGCACTGCTTTCCAACTTCCACACTTGCTTATATGGAAGCCAAACTAGTCAGTACTTTGGCTTAGATCCCCCTACTATAGAAGAGTATGTCGGTTAGCTTTCAGCAGTGCAGCTTAGTACAGGACAGAGACTGCTTTTTAATGAAAAAATGCTATGGAATCCAGAGGACCTTAAGCATTGTTGTGAAAATTTTTTTTTTTTTGCTGAAAAAAAAGGGGTGAAATAGACTGATAGAAAAATTTCATCACTATTTATATGAACTATTCCGTATGCAAAATGCAATTTTAAATGAATTGAGTGTATTCTTCAAATGTTCAAATAGACTTGCAGATTTGGAGATGGTGTTTGGAACTGTGCATTTAACCCAAATACACAATTTTAAAGGAAATGCATAATTAGTGTAGATTAGTTGTATTTGTTGATTATATGTATTTTTTTGTCATTTTTGCTCTGTCACATTGGATTAGTCTCTGCTTGGATAATTTTACTACTGCACCTTTCTAAAAGAAATTATATAAGTGGAACTGATAGATACTTGGGTATGCACTTTCTAGTTTTGTCTTCCCGTCTTTATGTACTCAATGAGAATAAAAACACAGCAAGGTCATTATTTGAAATGTCATTATTGCATAGGGTTTGTCATTACAAAAATAAAAGCTTATGTATGGTACATAAGCTTCAAAAAATATATTTAATGTTGTTTTGGTAAAAATTGGAATATTACATTGTCGTTAAAAATACTGTACAAAGAGATTCATGGCACAGACAGAAAATTTCCTGCCAAATTAATAATCATGAGTTTCAGCAGAATGCACAACAACCTGTAGCATGGGAATGTTAGACTTGTCAGCTTTAAACTTCAAAAGATGTCCATAATTATTTGGCACAATACTGGAATAATAACTTTGAAAAAAAAAATACAATTGAAATCAACCCCAGTGAAAGCAAGTTAAGTAAGTCTCCCTGTCAAAACATCAAAATTTTCTCGAGTATTAAGCATACAAGTAATTACTTATGAGCACCATACAATGACAAACTTTCTCCGAAGCGTGAGCATTATTCCCTGATTTTTACGTTTACCCTGGGTTTGTAATGTATAAAAAAACTACTAAAATATACTACAAAATTGAGAAACTTAATGAATTGGAAACCTATAGTTTGAGCTGATGGAAATCTTTTGGCACAGTAACAAATGTAAATACAAAAACTAAAATATACTACTACATTTGATATTCAAAAGACTACAATGGCAAAAATTGAGCAAATATACTGCTGAATTGCAAACTAGAAATCTAATTTTGACACTTTAAAATTTAAATATAAAACTAAAATGTACTACTAGGTTTGAAATAAAACTACAATGGCAAAAATGAGCAACGTTATGCTGAATTTGCAAACTAGACTTTCAACAAACTTCAGCAGATAGAAATCTAGTTTTGGCACTTACAAAGTTAAATATAAAACTAAAATATACTTAATTTGAAATTTACTACAATATAAAATCAAAATCTGAGGAACTTCATTGCAAAAAAAAAAAATAATAATAATAATAAAAAAAAACTATAATTTCAACTGACAGAATTCTTTTGGCACGTATAAATGTAAATATTAAACTAAAATATACTATAAATTTTTAATTCAAAATTCAAAAAAGGGGAACACTGAGAAACTTTACTACTGAATTTACCAAAAAATAATCTTCTTTGCAAACTGTTTTAAAAGCAAGCCTTGAGCAAGAAAGAGCAAGGGACGAAAAAATATTTGCCATGATTAATTATTTTTTTTCAATAAGCTTAGAAATTAAAGCAAACATTCTTTCGTCTCTTGCCCTTTCTTGCTCAAGGCGCTGAGCCTCTTGTCTCAAACGCTGATTTTCCATTTGGATCCTTTGATCCTCTTGTTGTAGGCGCTGCGCATCTAGCTCCTGACTAAATAGACCGAGGCGTGATATAGGGGCTGAGCATTAAAATGCTCAGTTCTGGCAATTCTCCACATATTACTGGGTGAAGTTATTGGCCTTTTGCCCAATCCCAAACCCCAAGGAGCAATAGAAAGAGGCAAGGACCATACTTGTAGCTGCTATCAGAGCTGGATGGAGGAATATTCCATAACAGCTGTATATGTCACTAGATCAAAAGGAGAAAAAAGTGACGGCGAAGGTCATACAAACTAGATATTTAAACGGTTAACCGCAATTAAATTTCTTTGAAAATTTGTAAATATCTCGTCCTGGTTTTATTATGATTGGGTTTGATGACCTACAGGGTATTGTTAAAATATTTTCATCAACTGCATACTCCAAGCACCAATTATTTCTCGGAAGAACAGCTTGATATGAAAATTACGACAGCATAGCTTAATATTGCATCAATTGAATATCACAAAGCCCTGAATAGTACTTGATAAAAGTTTGAAGTTGTCGTTAATGTCAACAAAGGAATAGATTGAAAATCAACTCTGAGTGTTACCCTCACAGGGGGTATCAAGTTAACACAGTAGTACCCGTAGTTTAATTTTAATAGAAATTTTAAAAGGCCTTAAAGGAAAACTGACAGTCACGCGAAGAAAGAAAGTGTAAGATTTTTAGCATTGTCACAACATTCTGAACTAGCAAACATTTTATTGTAAGAAGCTTCAAATTGACAGTCCACTTAGATGTATCTAACATTTCATCGCTTCTAATTAAATCTTTAAAATACGCGTTCTCAATGGAAAAATAAAAACAATTATTTTATGGTTTAAAATAGTATTTCATGTTATGAGTTGGTCTCAGTAAATATATGTAAGCAATCACTGGCACGGTAGCAGCCTAGCACTGCCATCATTACTCAGGTAGTCCACTGATCTATCATATAACGTGTCTCCGTGCAGGCAGACATTGAAGATTAAAAGGTATACAACGTGCAATGAACCGTGACATAGTAAAATAAATTCCTGGAATTCTCATCAAATGTCTCTCGATCTCCAAGGTATCCAATGCCCAAACCGCTGGGGATGAATCTCAATCTGCAAATAGGGACTATAAGTCCGGTTGGTAAAGCTGTTTTTAAAGGGAACATTATCGGATTAAGATTTTTGTCGGTGACTTTCACTTATTACCCCTTTAATACATATCTCGCAATTAACAACCCTGTATCCTCGGGCATATTGGGGAAAGCCAAGATATGCTCGCCATTTGCTACGGCTAAGGGTGAATTCATCTGTCTCCACCTCCATTACGAGAGTCTACCAAAAATAATAATTTTACAATACAAACGTCACCTTAACTATTTACATCTCTCAGGATTAGACTGGTGATTAGTCATCAGTAGGCCTACAGTGTTTATACAACATATATATATATATATATATATATATATATATATATATATATAATAACTACTCAGCATTTACAAGTCGCCACACTCACTGCGGTCCGAGGATTTTGTTTCCGGGGAGAGGAGGAGGAGTTGAACATAATTGTCGGGTAATTGAACCGACTCCCCTGCAGTGTTAAAACTGAATTTTTCATATGCGTCCAATAGTCCCTCTTTTAAAATATTCTCCTTCTGTAACATAATGTATGGCGATATGATCGCAAAAGAATTCTCTCTAAACTACCGTAACATAACCGCTATTATGTTTGCAAAGGCGGTAATCGCCGAGGGAGCGGTTGCGGTGAAAAACTTTGAACTGCAGACGTGTGACCATGATCTGGATCCGGTTGTCTAGGAAGGATCGATTTTAGTTCGCCATGTCTACCCTTACGATCTCCTTTATATAACCCTTTAGAACCTGATCCAACAGTTCCTGGGAACATGACCAGTGGCGGGGGATTTGAGATAACAACTTCTGTAGGAGAAGAGCATGACGGCTCCTCGTCATCTTCTACACTAGCTTGTTCCTCTTGATCCAAGGGTTGCTCAGGATTGATCGATTTTAATTCACCAAGTCTACCCTTATGATCTCCGGTGTATAACCTTTTAGAGCCTGAGCTAACAGTTCCTGGGAAGAGGACGAGTGCCGGGGGATATGCATTAACAGCTTCTGTAGGAGAGGAATATTGACTCTCTTCATCGTCTATATCGGCTTGTTCCTCTTGATCCAAGGGTTCTTCAGGATAGATCGATTTTAGTTTGCCATGCCTACCCCTATGACCTCCGTTGTATAACCTTTTAGAGCCTGGACTAACAGTTCCTGGGAACAGGACGAGTGCCGGGGGAACTGCATTAACAATTTCTGTAGAAGAAGAACATGCGGTCTCTTCATCATCTTCTACATCGGCTTGTTCCTTTTGATCCATGGGGTTGTCATTTGGGTCAGGGTTAGTTTTTCTACAAATAAGCAAAGTAGAGGTTGTACAGTCATTCTCTGATAGGAACTAAATATACTTCCCTAGCAAAAAGAAATGTCATCCCTAATGCCTTAGCAAAATGATACAGAAAATCATGACATAAACAATGGTTTCTGATTCGACTTCTGGATTTCTTTCGCAACATTTACTAATTGTACAACCAATGAATTAGCTGACATTAGTAAAAAAAAAAAAAACCAAAGCCACACATAAATGCTTTGTACAGTATCCTCTGCATTGAAGGATGCAGTATAATTTAATTATCGAATTAAGACGTATAAATGTGAAAATAAGACAAAAAATGTACGTATTTGAGTGTATTTTTGTCAAAACAAAACAGTACAATTCAGTCCCTAGAACCGGAAAAAGGAGACAGCGCTACTAGCACAGCGATACCTTTTCTTCAGATAGCGATTCCACAATGCAGCGGTAATGCAAACCACGCATACCAGTACCACGCCAGTTGCTGTGACAGAAGGGACCAAAGTGGTGATACGGCTCGTCTCTTGAGCAGCTGCACGGGCATTTGACTGGGCTGTGGTTAAATTTTTAACTGGAATTAGATAAACTCTTTGTTGTAAAGTAAATTATTTACACTTTCAGTAATTGCAGATAATAATTAAAACGGAATCAAACGAGTAAAAGGATAGGGAGTTATTGAATGTAAGTTAAATTTCTGTAAGAGGCATCGAGGCATACGGAGAAATAGAGTTTAAATACTAGTGAAATTGTATGAAAAGAGAATCGATGAATAAACATTCGAACGCTCCTGTCGTCGTCATTTCCTAACTATAATATCTTTTATTTTTCTAATAAATTAAGTTTAATAAGACGTCTGTGCATTTAACGTTTCGTATCTTGTCATTTGCCTGCTACTGAAGGAGAGGGATTTGACAAATATAGCCACAAAGATATGCGGACAAGATATATTTTGACGTTTTGTAGTTATATAAAATAGGTGACTCTATACATCAGCACTCCAGAAAGAGGTCATGAACCATCTACAATCATCGTCCAAAAAAGTGAAAACAGAAAATCATTGGACATTCCGACATGGGTTTGTTCAGCAAATGCCACCCAACCCTGTCTTATTAAGTAATCAATACTTACTTATTTGATCACAGTGTATTCCAAAGAACCCCGGTGGACATATACAATGGTAACTCATCTCATTGTTGACACACACACCTCCATTGTAACAAGGATTACAGGAACACCAATCTAAAAAGAGAGAATGGGGTCCGTATACGGTTATTGAATGTAGACAACTTGAGGCGCGTCCAGAAAAAAACTCTCTTACAATGGACGCTCCATTGCCGTGGCAGCCATGATTCAATTACCAGTGGTTAGCAGAAAAACGTTTTTACTTTGATTTTATCGTTAAATGTGGAATAAAGCTTATCATGGTTCATAGATGAAAGGGTTTTGTTCAATTTCTTCCAAAGTAGTGGTTCTATCCACTGTCCTAATACAGGCTTGACATTTAATATGGAATATTTTAGTTTCAAAGGTATGTCTAGGTAAAATGTGTTACTTATTTTAATACGTGTATCTCATGTGAATTATGAGTATAGATAAAAGCCAGGTGTGTCAGTAATTAACTGACTGCCCTGTCTGAAGCACTGCTGCATTATGTAATGTGTGCATGGCGATTTCTTTGGGTAGTACTCTTTGGGCTGGTCTAAGTATGACTTTGGCAGAGCATGGTTCAGTCAAAAAGTTTCAATATTTCGACAAAGGCCACAAAGATGATTTTGAATTTTGCATACAAGTAGTGGATGTTGCGGTGCATAAACTGCACGGGCAGCAGATTGTTACCGCCTTTTTGATAAATGCCACAATGACGTAAAACACATAGACATTACTAGATAAATTATTGGGTCGCAAGGAACGCTCTGCACGGTCTTACATGGATGTGCCCATACTATTGTATCTACCACAAAGAAACAGGAGACGTCGTTCTTACGATTTTGCTGCTACAAATAAACAAAAACAAGTTCTGTTCAGAATGAGGGGCAAATTGTCACCGAAAAGCGTTTTAAAGGACCATTGTAATAGCTAGACTGGTTTAAACAAGAAGGAAAAATCAAAGAAAAATTATTTGGAAAATATTCCATATAAATACATACAGACTTGATACATATGTATTTATATGGAATATTTTCCAAATAATTTTTCTTTGATTTTTCCTTATGTAATAAGCTACATAAGGCAGAGAGTGCAAAGAGGCACACACTGAAATATAAAAAGATAAACCTGAAAAGCTACACAAGGGTATGTACAACAACTGCCACCCAAGCCTTTCTTATTTAGTAATATATATTTACTTATTTGATCACAATGTCTTCCATGGAATCCTGTTGGACAGATACACTGGTAAGTCGTCTCATTGTTGATACACACACCTCCACTGAGACAAGGATTTTCAGCACACCAATCTAAAAAGAGACAAGGGAGGCCCGTAAGCGGTTATTGAATGTAGACAACGATGTCGGAAAGAAATATCTGTCTCTTACCATCGATGCTTAATTGCAACATTCCCTATTCTTCCACTCCGATAGAAAGTGCTTTCGTCTAGATTAAACTGTTTTTTAAATGTGGTAAATGTTAAACGTCAAAAATGACGTTTTAAAGAAAATCCTCCTTCAACAAAGTAGTTGGGTAGGCCTAAATAATAATAATAATAACAGGAATAATAATGATAATAATAATAATGTAACTTATCATGAAAACTTCGATCAGATAGTGCAATAAATGATACTGTGCATTGAAGTACTCGTTTAGCAGAACGGACAAAACGAAGAGCCTAAAAAAGTCTACAACAGCTCCAAATTTCTCAATAAAAACAGAAAACTTGGACAAGACCATGTACAACAACAAATGTTTTTTCCGTAACCCTGCCTTACGTATAAAGTAATCAGTGTAACATTTACTTATTTCGTCACAATGTCTTCCATGGAATCCTGGTGGACAGATACACTGGTAAGTCGTCTCATTGATGATACATACACTTCCATTGAGACAAGGATCACCAGCACACCAATCTAAAAAGACAGCGGAGGCCAGTAGACAGTTATTCAATATATATTTAAAAAAACGAGCCTCGTCCCATCTAAAACACCAGTCTCTTACCAGAGATACTTGATTGCAACATACCCCTTTCTTCCAGCCCGATAGTAATCGCGCTTTCTTTTAGTTGAAACCGTTTTTAAATGTAGAGGAATGTTACATGGCAAAAACGACGTTGTAAATGAATTCCTCCTTCAACTAAACTTAGTAGTAGTCTAAATAGTAATAATACTAATAATGTGGTTTATTATGAATACCTCAATCAGATATTGCAAGTAAATGACCCTCTACAATGTAGTACTCGTTTAGCAGAACGGACAAAAAACAAAGTGCTAAATACATGTCGGTACAGCAGCTCCAAATTTCTCAATGAAAACTGAAAAATTCTACAAGACCATGTACTACAAACTATTATTTTCCGTAATCATGCCTTGCGTATTAGGTTATCAGTATTTACTAATTTGATCACAATGTCTTCCATGGAATCCTGGTGGACAGATACACTGGTATGTCGTCTTATTGTAGATACACACACCTCCATTTTGACAAGGATCACCAGCACACCAATCTAAAAAGACAGCGGAGGCCAGTATAAAATTATTCAATGTAGAAAAAAAACCCAGCCCATCTGAAACACCAGTCTCTTACCAGAAATACTTGATTGCAACATACCCCATTCTTCCATCCCCGATAGTAATCGCGCTTTCGTTCAGTTTTAACCGTTTTTAAATGTAGAGATATGTTACATTGGCACAAACGATGTTTGTAAATGAAGTCCTTCTTCAACTAAACTAAGTAGTAGTCTAAATAATAATCATAATAATAATAATAATTATTATTATCATTATTATTACAATGTGACTTAATATGAATACTTCACTCAAATATTGCAAGTAAATGACCCTCTACAATGTAGTACTCTTTTAGCAGAACGGACAAAAAACAAAGTGCTAAATACATGTCGGTACAGCAGCTCCAAATTTCTCAATGAAAACCAAAAAAATTCTACAAGACCATGTTCTACAAAATAATTCTTTGCTGTATTCCTGCCTTACTTATTAGGTTATCAGTATTTACTTATTAGGTCACAATGTTTTCCATGGAATCCAGGTGGACAGATACACTGGTAACTCGTCCCATTGTTGATACACCCCGCACGAAAACGAAGTAGATGCTCCAGCGCAGTAGACTACTGCAATCATACTGCAAACATGCTTCAAATCTGCTTCGATGTGGGAGCTAATTAGCATATTTGAAACATGCTTCTATCATGCTGCTAATCTACTGCATTAATGCTCCTCCTCTGTACAACCCTATGTAATTTTTGAAGTAGAATTGCAGTAGGCTATACTGCATTTCTACTGCAAATATGCTCCACACCACTACTGCGTTAATGCTTCTTTGCTACTTCGATACTACTGCATTTTCATGCGGGACACACCTCCATTTTGACAAGGACCACCAGCACACCAATCTAAAAATAGACAGTCCGATAAAATATAAAGAACAGATTGTTGCGGACGTCGCTCTTAATATACCTGCACTTCTGCCCTTGTTTAGATTATTTAGTATCAAGTTCTGTACGTACGTTTAGCAAATACAACTTCTTTTTATTAACCCTGCATTGATTATAAAGTGATTAGCATTACTTATTTGCTCGCAGTGTTTTCCATGGAGCCCTACAGGGCAGGTATCAATACTTGTGCTTCTGCTCTTGTTTAGATTATGTAGAATTAATTTCTATATACGTATGTTCAGCAAACATATTTTCTTTTTATTAACCCTGCCTTGCTTATATAAAGTGATTAGCATTACTTATTTGATCGCAGTGATTTCCATAGAACCCTACGGGGCAGGTACACTGGACGCATTGGTAAGCCGTCTCATTGCTGCCACACACACCTTCATTGATAGAAGTATTACCAGCACACCAATCTAAAAGGACAATGGAGAGGCGAACAAATTCATTAATGAATAAAATATACGGCGAGGTTAAAAAAGAAATGCATATTTAAACACACATATGTCTTTTAATTCAGATATGGCAATGGCATGTTTGCATAAATATTGAGCATCACTATTCACGTTAGGATTCCTTCGTTATCATGTTCATACCAGGAAGTACGATATGTTTGACGTACGACCTATCGCTGTGTTTTGATCTTGTTTGTTACGTGCACATATAAATCACACGGTGAGATTATGTGATCAAACACTTACCTTTTAAACATTTTGCACCGCCCCCAGACAAGTCACAGCTACACTTATAACCATCGAAAAGAGCAAACTGGCTTTCATTCCCATTGCATGGGGAATTTGCGCATTGACCAATCTCTGAAACTATTGAGGGTGTCTGTCGATTAACAAGCATATTGTTGCACACAATTTCTGCAGGTGAACGCAATAAACTTAATGAGCAAATAGCGTTAGCATTAGCAACAATAGCATGATGATAGTTTTAACTATTAACACGTTTTATTTTAATTTTAATTGAATATTGGACCTGTGAAGATTCTTTTGTCTATAGCTACTTATATTTGTCTGGTCTTAGATCTACCAGCCAATATTTCGTCTGCTTGCAGTCAGACTTCATCAGAAAATGAGGTTGTGATAGATGTGAGGAACTCAACCTCTACCTACCACTCCTAAGGGAGGGGCAGGCAGGGGGGGGGGGATACTGACCAAATAGCACACCACAGGGGGTGATAGGTTGTCACATCTATCACAACCTCATTCCTTGATCAAGTAATTTTTTGCCCTGGTAAAGTCTGACACATTGGCTACTGAGACCAGACAAATATAAGTAGCTACAGACAAAAGAATCTTTATAAGTCTATTACAATAATATAGGAAATGAAACTCTTCTATACTTGAATATTGTATTTAACACGAAACGTTGCGTCAAGTACGCATAATTTTAAAAGTTTAAAAAGTCTTAAAAGACGCGCGCCTTACCTTCAGTGATATCGCTGCAACCAACTCTCTGCAGTACTGTTGTACAGTTAGATGACGGGTCTGCCCGGAAAGCGTTCCACGAGCTGTACACGGACACGTTCTGAATCGACCGGACTACGTTCCCACACCCGTCTTGAACGAACCACGTGCGCTGGATGTCCACCCCACAGCCATTGTCATTGATCGAATCTGTG